TGTGTGTAAGTGTGTATGTGTGAGTGTGTGTTTTGTGTGTGTGTTGAATGTGAGTGTGACTGTGTGAATGAGTGTGAGTGTATGTTTTGTGTGTGTGTGTTGTGTGTGAGTACGACTGTAAGTGTGTGTGTGTGTGTGAGAGAGAGAGTGTGTGTGTCCTACCTGGGCATGCACAGGTGGGTGTGGGCAGTGGCCTGAGCCCTTCACGTACTGCCAGGTGGCCTGGCTTGCCAAAGGTGGGGAAGGGTTATTTACTCAAGGTGGGAGAGAGCTGCAGCCTGGGAGGTGAAGTGCGGGGCAGCAGGGGCAGGAAGAATAGCAGCCGAGGCCACAGTGGCATCCGTGGAAGACGTTCTTTGGGGCCTTTTCCGTGCCTGCTGCTGTTCTTCGCATCATGCGTGTATAAGAAGCAATCCTGGCCGGGCGCGGTGGCTCAAGCCTGTAATCCCAGCACTTTGGGAGGCCGAGACGGGCGGATCACGAGGTCACAAGATCAAGAAGCCTAACATGGTGAAACCCCGTCTCTACAAAAAAAATACAAAAAACTATCCGGCGAGGTGCGGGCGCCCTGTAGTCCCAGCTAACTTCGGAGGCTGAGGCAGGAGAATGGCGTAAACCGGAGGCGGGCAGTGAGCTGAGATCTGGCCACTGCACTCCAGCTCGGGCGACAGAGCAAGACTCCGTCTCAAAAAAAAAAAAAAAAAAAAGAAGCAATCCTATTGAAGGAGGGCCTACGAATACAGTACCCACTTTACAGAGGAAGAAACTGAGGCTCAGAGAGGCTGAGTCACTCCCAGAGCTGAGATTTGAACCCAGGGAGTGGGAGCTGGGGCCTGGACTCCACCGCACAAAGGAGTCCTGCCTGCTGGGACAAGGAGCTGTCTTATGGTGTGGCCAGTGTGGCCAAGCCAGCCTTTGGAGCCTGGTGGGCTGGCTCTGGATTCTAGCTCTGCCACCTGCCTGCTGAGGGTCCTTCTGAAAGTCCCTCCACCTCCCTGAGCCCCACTTTCTCCTCTGTAAGATGGTACTAATGACATGTATTTCTCTGGTTATTTAGAGGTTTAATGAGACACCATATGCAGAGGGAGGCAGACTTCAGGGCCTCCTCAGGAGCCTTGGCCTATGGCCACAGGGCCTTTGTATGTACCGTGTGTGCACCTAAGATGCCCATTAGAAAGATAAGATGCTACCTCACCGCGGACTTGCCTTACTCTCCCTGCTGCAGGGCCAGCTCCAGGGGTGTGTGACCTATGGAGGTGCACTCGTCCCCATGCTCAGAGCGCCCTGTGCTGGGTTTACTGGTCTCTGTCACCATTTCGAAATTCTTAGTAATTTTTTAACAAGGAGCCGTGCATCTTCATTTTGCACTGGGCCCTGCCAGTGTCACAGCTAGGCCTGCCCTGCAGTTTTCTTTTTCTTTCTTTCTTTTTTTTTTTTTTTTTTGAGATGGAGTCTTGCTCTTATTGCCCAGGCTGGAGTGTAATGGCGCGATCTCGGCTCACTGCAGCCTCTGTCTCCTGGGTGTTCAAGCGATTCTCCTGCCTCAACCTCCCGAGTAGCTGGGATTATAGGCGCCCGCCACCTGGCCCAGCTAATTTTTGTATTTTTAGTAGAAATGGGGTTTCACCATGTTGGCCAGGCTAGTCTTGAACTTCTGACCTCAGGTGATCCGCCCACCTCCGCCTCCCAAAGTGCAGGGATTACAGGCATGAGCCACTGCGCCTGGCTGCCCTGCAGTTTCTCCTCCTGCACTGTCCCCTGCGTGATCTGCCCCTGGCATGATCTGCCCCCTGCATGATCTGCCCCCGGCAAGGAAGGAGACTGAAGAGCAGCAGAGAGGGTCCCTGGAGACAGAGCAGGCTCAACGCACCCCTGATGCCCATCACCAGGCAGCTTCCTCAAAGCGGGCAGGCAGACCCTCCTCTGTTGGGCACACTCAGTTAGCCTCTGGGTCAGGTGCTCCTCCTAAAACGGGGCTGACAGTTGGAGACCTCCAAGCTTCCCAGTCATAGCAGTGGCCCCTCTCAGCCCACACCCAGTCCACTCTGGATTGCCAGTGGCGATCCCTGAGACAGGGTTCTCCCCCAGGCTGATCAGCCCCACATGTGTGATGCTTTCTGGGCCTCTCCACACCCCTCGTTCTCTGAGGCAGGTGGGGGCTCCAAGGCAAACTCATGTGAGCCTCACCTGTGTGTTGCACTGTGCTGTCTGCAAACCGACACCCTCATGCTGCCGAGACAACGTCTCTGTCCCCAGCACCTCCTTGGGAACGGTGGACTCCGTGGTCAAAGGGCCATCTGAGGGGAGCCACAGTATCTGTGCTTCAGGCAGCCCAAGTTGAGGATGTGTCACAATTTCGTGGCATCGTTCATCCCTCACTCTCGGCTCTGGGGCTGGGCACCTGCTCTCTGGCCCAGCCTGCCGCCAGGGTGAATGGCGTCTGGGGCAGATGGCATTCTGGGAACAGGTAATGTCCTGGCCAGTGGGCAGGCCAGAGCTGGAGCCTAGGTGGAGGGCTCCCCAAGGTCCACCCTGGGTCCCACTCGGCTTTCCCTGGGTGTGGCGACACTGTTGCCAGTTACAGACTGCCCAAGAGTGCCCCGAGATCTAAGCATAGGATGCAACAGGGGCTGGTCTCATCCACCTCGGATCCACCCACCTGCAGCCCTGTCCGGCTATGTCCCTCAGGCCATGCTCGCTGTGTTTCGAGAACTCTCCTCCAGGCCTGCAAAGTTTGCCATGGTGAATGTCAAAGGGACATGGGGGCAACAGCTCCCAAGATCAGCCCTAGTCCTCCCTCCTCATCTGCCCTCTCCAGGGGGCCTCACTCCACGTCTCCAACTTCTCAGGTTGGTGTCCAGGCCACGGGCTCACAGGGACTCACCTCCTGCTTCAGTCTCTGTTTCTGACCAGGCTTCTTGTGCCCAGGGAGGAGACTGCTGCTCTCAGAAGGGACCCTCCTAGCTGGACCTGCCGCTGATTTGGCCGGGTGCCCTGGGCTCTGTGCCCACCTCCACCAAGCTCCCAGAAGCGAGAGCTGGATACCTGCCTCTCTGTGTCCGGCTTCCTTCCTTCCTTCCTCAACAATCAGTCATTAAACATCCATGATACAGATGCACGGCGCTGCTGCAGCTGTCCTCCAGGCTGCCTTTCTGTTTTTGTTTTTGAGACAAGGTCTGACTCTGTTGCTCAGGCTGGAGTGCAGTGGCATGATCACAGCTCAGTGCATTCTCAACCTCCTGGGCTCAGGCGATCCTCCTGCCTCAACCTCCCAACTAACTGGGACCACAGGTGTGCGCCACCATGCCTGGCTTGTATTTTGTGTAGAGATGAAGTTTCGCCATATTGCTGAGGCTGATCTCGAACTCCTGGGCTTAAGTGATCCACCCACTTTGGCCTCACAAAGTACTGGGATTTCAGGCATGAGCCACCGTGCCTGGCCCCGTCCCCCTGGCTTCTTATTATAGACTTTGAGGCTCATTCAGGTCACCTCTTACAGTGAACTTTTGTCACTTTCTTCTCCACCATCTACTTTACCCCAGGGATGAGACTTCATTGGTCTAAGCCAATCTGACTCCCTCACCCCCTTGGTTATAATGATATAGGATACATGTCCCAACCCAGGTCAGATGACCCCATAAATAGGTTTCAATTGCTTTATCTGCAAGTAGTTCTGTATTTATTTATTTATTTATTATTTTTTTGATGGAGTCTTGCTCTGTCGCCCAGGCTGGAGTGCAGTGGCATGACCTTGGCTCACTGCAACCTCCGCCTCCCGGATTCAAGTGATTCTCCTGCCTCAGCCTCCCGAGTAACTGCAATTACAGGCGCACGCCTCCACGCCCAGCTAAGTTTTGTATTTTTAGTAGAGACGGGGTTTCACCATGTTGGCCAGGCTGGTCTTGAACTCCTGACCCCAGGTGATCCACCCACCTAGGCCTGCCAAGGCGCTGTGATTACAGGTGTGAGCCACTACACCCGGCCAAGTAGTTCCCTTTCTGTTGCATTAGGACCTAGAGGCACACAGCCTGGGCCTGCCCAAGGCTGTCTTGTGACCATGAGGGAGCGTCTGCAGAGGACAGAGCCCTTCTCCGTGCAGGAGGGCCTGGCTGGTTGAGTGCGTCTCTGATGGAGCAGTGCCCCCAAGGGCCAGTCATTCTCAAACTCAGTGTGCCCCAAGTCCTGACCCCTGGTATTCTGGGCTATCACTTCCCAGGAAAATGGCACTCCAAACCCTGGCCTTCAGGCCTGCTCCTTTGTGCTTATTCCTGGAATCCCTCGTCCAGAGTGTCTTCAAATTCACACAAGCTCCCCCTGCTTGGCCCTAACCCAATGGGTTAAGTGTTTCAAGGGAGGACTTGAGAGGTCCCTAGGACATGCCTGGAGGGCCAATAAATGACCCCAATAAATGACCCTGGATTGTGGTGAGGCAGGTGGAGAGTGTGACCATGAAGAGCAGGGCAGACTCCCCAGAGTACTGTAGGGGGGGCAGCTGCAGTCTGGACGAAGACTACGCGCCAAGGCCAATTGTGGTTGCTGGCGGGATGCAGTTGGGAAAGCGAGAGTAAGGACCCCAGACCCTGGCGGCTGCAATGCCTGGGGGCATGTGACACGGCGGTGAAGGGGGGAAATGTGTGTTGATCCTACCCTGGCCACAAGCCTGGGCTTCTGCTCACGGGCCATGCCCACTGACCACAGGAAGGGGCCTCCCTTCTTAAAGCAGGGAGAATATTCCAGAACTGAGGCTAGTCCTGCATCCTGGCCAGGAATCCCAGGCCAACACCCTCCCCGCAATCTTAGGTGCGTAGCAGCCCTGGCTGGTGACCCCTGGGCGGAGAGAGTACGGTAGTTTGCAAGAAATCCAAGAAAGGCCTGGTGAGTGGTTGCTTTTCCGTAATGTTGCAACCATCCGCCAAGTGAATGCTGCTGTGTCTCCATGGTTGTTTTGATGGTGTTTGAGACGATGAGGGGAACCTGAGTCTGATTTCTTCAATTTACAGGGGCTGCCTTCGTGTTCTGGAAGAATTCACGTGCTAATTTGTAGGCGGCCTGGCCAGATGCTTCAGAGACTCCGGCAGCATCGAAGGCGTGATTTTAGATCAGTGCTCCCGAGACCCTTGTGTTATTTAAGAAGGTCAGTGTGCTTAAATGCATAAGAAGTAATCTGTGTGTTAAATGTATGAGTTAACTGAGCATAGCCGAAGTGAAAGTGAATGTGTTTTCATATTAAAATTAGATTTATAAAGAGAATGCTAAAACTTGGTGGATTTTGGAATGCAAGGTCTAAGAAAAGCTAGGTTTAAATATTGACAACTTTTACAACTTGATATATTAACTCTTTTTTTTTTGAGACTAGACCTTGTCCCCCAGGCTGGAGTGCAGTGGTGCAATCATGGCTCACTGCAGCCTCAACCTCCCAGGCTCAGGCAATCCTCCTCCCTCAGCCTCTCAAAGTGCTTAGACTCCAGTTGCATGCCACCAGGCCTGACTAATTTTTTTTTTTTTTTTTTTGAGACGGAGTCTCGCTCTGTCGCCCAGGCTGGAGTGCAGTGGCCGGATCTCAGCTCACTGCAAGCTCCGCCTCCCGGGTTTACGCCATTCTCCTGCCTCAGCCTCCCGAGTAGCTGGGACTACAGGCGCCCGCCACCTCGCCCGGCTAGTTTTTTGTATTTTTTTAGTAGAGACGGGGTTTCACCGTGTTAGCCAGGATGGTCTCGATCTCCTGACCTCGTGATCCGCCCGTCTCGGCCTCCCAAAGTGCTGGGATTACAGGCTTGAGCCACTGCGCCCGGCCAAGCCTGACTAATTTTTTTAAAAAAAGTTTTAGTGACATGGCTTGGTGAGAGGTCTCACTAAATTGCCCAGGCTAATCTCAAACTCCTGGGCTCAAGCAGGCCTCACACCTCCGTCTCCCAAGTAGCTGAGACTACAGGCACGCACCACCACACCCAGTTAATTTTCATTTTTTTTTTTTTTTTGTAGACAGGGTCTCACTATGTTGTCCAGACTGGTCTCAAACTCCTGGGCTCCAGCGATCTTCCCACCTCGGCCTCCCAAAGTGCTGGGATTACAGGTATGAGCCACCGTGGCCAGCCTTGACTCAATTCAGATTCAAGTCACTAAGTCTTCCTTGGAAAGCACAAAACCTCCCCCAGGCATTAAAATATTCAAGTGATACAGAAAAGGGAGAGGTGAAGAGCAGCTACCACCTGGAGGAGAAGGTGGGCTCTGAGCTGGGCCTGGAGCCGGGCAGGAAGGTCCTTCTTAGCGCCCAGCAAGCTGCACTGCCCAAGCACTGCCCTCCGCCACCCCACCTCTGCTGGCATTGAAACCTCCCTCTGGGGCTCCCTCTGGCTTCTTGGGTGGTCTCTTTTTTTGAGACAGTCTCACTCTGTCACCCAGGCTGGAGTGCGGTGGTGCAATCTCAGCTCACTGCAACCTCCGCCTCCCGGATTCAAGAGATTCTCCTGCCTCAGTCTCTCGAGTAGCTGGGATTACAGGCACCTGCCACCACATCTGACTAATATTTGGTTTCACCATGTTGTCCAGGCTGGTCTCGAACTCCTGATCTCAAGCAACCCGCCCGTCTCGGCCTCCAAACGTGCTGGGATTACAGGCGTGAGCCACTGTGCCTGGCCTTGAGTTGAGTCTTGATGTTGCAATCACACCACCCCAAATCCACACACTTGTTTATTCATTCAACAAACAATAAAGCACCTGGACACTCCAGGTTCCATGCCAGGAGCTGGAGTTCACAGGAGAGCACAGGCCTCGGCCCTGGGGCTGAGTCTTGCCGCCTTCGTCATGGCTTGTGACTGCTATGGTCTGAATGCTGGTGTCCCACAGATTCATGTGTTGGAACCTAATGCCCTATGGGATAGTAGTAACAGGTGCCTTCGGGGGCTGGTTAAATCAAGAGGGCTTCACCCTCACAAATGGGATTCATGCCCTTATAAAAGAGGCTTGAGGGAGCGTGTTTCCCCTTCCACCACCTGAGGACAGAGCAAGAAGGTGTCGTTTGTAAGGAATGGGTCCTCGCCAGACACCAGATCGGCCAGCGCCTTGATGGTGGACTTTGCAGCTTCTAGCACTGTGAGCGATGAATTTCTGTTGTTTGTAAATTACCCAGTCTAAAGTACTTTGTCAGGCCGGGTGCGGTGCTCCACGCTTGTAATCCCAGCACTTTGGGAGGTCAAGGTGGGTGGATCACGAGGTCAAGAGATTAAGACCATCCTGGCCAACATGGTGAAACCCTGTCCCTACTAAAAATATAAAAATTAGCCGGGCACGGTGGCTGCCTTCTCCTCCGAGCCAATGAGGAGGATCTCAGTCCAGTCGGCTAAGTGGGAGTCTTTTCTAATGTAATGTAATCATGGGAGTGACATCATCATCTTTGCCATGTTCTATTGGCTAGAAGAAGCTCCCAGGCTTTGCCTTCACGCCCGGAGGAGCTTACCCAAGGGTGACTGCTTGCAGTCATTTTAAGGTACGTCCACAGTTACTGATGGGCGTTTTCTTTGGTCAGAGCCTTGCTGGCTCAAAAGAGGGAGAGGGTCTCTGCCTCATGACTGGGTGCCCCATGACATGGGTTTCCTGATCTCCATCCAGTTTTCTTTTTTTTTTTTTTTTTTTTGAGACGGAGTCTTGCTCTGTTGCCCAGGCTGGAGGGCAGTGGTGCGATCTCGGCTCACTGCAAACTCCGCCTCCCGGGTTCACGCCATTCTCCTGCCTCAGCCTCCCGAGTAGCTGGGACTACAGGCGCCCGCCGCCATGCCCGGCTAATTTTTTGTGTTTGTTTTTTAGTAGAGACAGGGTTTTACCATGGTCTCGATCTCCAGAGCTCGTAATCCGCCCGCCTCGGCTTCCCAAAGAGCTGGGATTACAGGCGTGAGCCACTGCGCCCGGCTTCCATCCAGTTTTCTACAGCAGTCAGAGCTAAGACTGGTTTCCCAACAATTAGGCTTTTTTTTTTTTCCAGTTGAGATGGAGTAGTCCCATTTGAATCATGCATGTGTGTTGATTAACATGGTTCTAACCCAATTCCTACAAAATAATAACTCTGGTACCACAGTTGAGCTTAGTGTGTGCCAAACACCAAATTAGGTACTTGAAAAACTTGAGATGCAATTCCATTGTGTTGCCCTGGCTGGTCTTGAACTCCTGGGTTCAAGTGATTCTCCAGCCTCAGCCTCCCTAGTAGCTGGGATTACAGGTGAGTGCCACCAGGCCCAGCCTAATTAGGGACTTTCATTCATTATCTTATTTCAGAATCACAACAGCCCTATGAATAGATATTATTATTTCCATTGAATATTCCTTCTGAGGCACAGAACACACATGTGAAGTGTCCAAGTTCAGCTAATAGCTGTCAGCCAGGATTTTTTGAAGCCAGTGTAAACGGCCCGAAGCAATTAGCAGGAGGTTGTATTACTGGCTCCCATTGCAGAAACACAAAGGCTTAGAGCTGGGCCTCAGGCACAGTTGGATCTAGGTTCACCAGTGATGTCACCTGGAAACTGTCCCTCTCCATCTCCCAGGTCGGCTTTCCTCTGCCGTAACCTCGCCCTCAGGCAGACTGTTTCTAGCGGTAGCAGAAATGGCTGCAGCCAGCTCCAGGGAAAGGCCGGGGCTGGATGGCCTTGGCATGGTTGGGTCTTGTCCCTGTCTGGACCAACTAGGGTGTGCATGTTCTGTTTGACCAGTCCTGAGCAGGTCAGGCCCATCACTGAGCCACATGCAGCAAGAGTGATGAAGGGGTAGAATCCAAGATACTTCTACAAAGAGAAGAGAAAGGGGGTGCTTAGCAGGCAACAGCACTGGATGGCAGCCTGGGGACAGAACGGGATTCCAGTCCAGTTCCATCTGACTCCAGGATGCTGTTGTCAGTCACTGTGCTGAGAAGAGTCCCGGGTGTGGCCAGCACCTGTACTGGGTGCCTAACTCACTCCCAGGCCAGTCCTTCCTGGAAGGGGGCAATGTGAAGGCGCAGGGCTCTGTAGAAAATAGGACATGGGCAGAGGAACAGCTTGCTGCTGCTTTTTTTTTCTTTTTTCCCCCAGAGATAACGTCTTACTCTGTCATCCAGGCCAGAGTGCAGTGGCACAATCACACCTCACTGCTCGTTGGAACTCCAGGGCTCAAGTGATCCTCCCATCTCAGCTTTCCAAGTAGCTGGAACTAAAGGTGCACGTCACCATGCCTGGCTCATCTTTTTTTCCCCTCTCCTCTCCTCTCCTCTCCTCTCCTCTCCTCTCCTCTCCTTTTCCTTTCCTTCCCTTCCCTCCGCTCCCCTCCCCTCCCCTTCTCTTCCCTTCCCTTCATTTCCCTTCCCTTCCCTTCCCTTTTTCCTTTCCTTTTCTTTCTTTCTTTTTTTTGAGACTGAATTTCGCTCTTGTCGTCCAGGCTGGAGTGCAATGGCACCATCTTGGCTCACTGCAACCTCTGCCTCCCGGGTTCAAACAGTTTTCCTGCCTGAGCCTCCCAAGTAGCTGGGATTACAGGCATCCATCACCATGCCCAGCTAATTATTGTATTTTTAGTAGAGATGGGGTTTCACCATGTGAGCCAGGCTGGTCTTGAACTCCTGACTTCAAGTGATCCACCTGCCTTGGCCTCCGAAAGTGCTGGGATTACAAGCATGAGCCACCACGCCCAACGTATTTTTTAGAGACAGGGTCTCACTGCGTCGCCTAGGCTGGCCTCGAACTCCTGGACTCAAGCGATCCTCCCATCTTGACCTCCCACAGTGCTGGAATTACAGCATGAGTGTGAGCCACTGTGTCCGGCCTGAGGGACGGCTTTCTCTCCATGCTGGGGAGAGTAGAGCAGCTGACTTAAGAGTGGCTTCTGTTACCAGCTTTTCCATGACCAGTGGTTATTGCTCGGGAGGATTTGGGATGCTTCTTGTTGCACGATTTAATCCCTGCAGCAGCCCTGGCAGGCAGGAAACATCACCACCCCTCTCAGCGCGGAAGCTTGAGGCTCAAAGTCCTCCGGACCCAGGAGTCATGGGTCTTACTCCCTCCCTTAGAGAGGAGAGGACTGAGGCCCAGGGAGGAGAATGACCCCTGAGCTTCCTCTTCCTGTCCTGGGTACCTCTGGTCTCACCACCAGTCTCCTTTGTTTGACTGACATTGTATTTTTGGATGAGTAATACATTCATATAGTTCAAAATTCAATTGTGAAAGGGGTTTACTGAGAAATGTCTGTCTTTGTGGTCGGCTGAATGATGGGCCCCCAAAGGTGCCCATGTCCCGATTCCTGGAACCTGTGACTGTGTCACCTTATATGGCAAAAGGGACTTTGCAAATGTGATGAAGGGAAGGCTCTTGAGATGGGAGATTATCCTGGATCATCTGGGTGGGCCCTAAATGTAATCACAGGGGTCCTTCTAAGAAGGAGGTCCGAGAGATCCCTGCCTGCTGACTTTGAAGGTGGAGGGAGAGTGTCTTAGCGTGGGCTGCCAGAACAAAATTCCACACTGGGCGCTGAAACAACAGACATTTATTTCTCACCATTCTGGAGGCTGGGAAGTTCAAGGTCAAGGTTGTGGCTGAGCTGACTCAGTTCCCCATGAAGGTTCTCTTCTTGACTTGGAGAGAGCTGCCTTCTTTTTATTTTTTATCTATTTTTATTTATTTATTTATTTATTTGGGAGGGCTTGAGGCAGGAGAATCGGCTGAACCACAGGAAGTAAATGTTAAGTGAGGCAAGGATCGTTGCGCACTGCATTTCCAGCTGGGTAACAGGAAGGCAAGACCCTCGTGTCTCAAA